ATCAAAGCACGCGCCAGACTCGTCAAGGCCACGAGTAGTACGGAATACTACAACAGTATAAAACTGTATATTTTCACCTATAGGAAGGAAACAACTACTGGTATGTGCAGTTGCTAAAGGGTTAGAGATGCAAATAATTATCAATAATTATGCTAATAACTTTAGCAGACAACGACGAAATCTGATAAAAATAATTTCGAGATAATCAGGGAGCAGTGTCCTGCCAGACTGAATCTATTAGAATAGGATATGCGTAGATCCTTTACTACTCTGGAAAAACTTAGATCGTGATCGCCTATGTATAGTTGAGTTTGGTGAACATCGCCAACAACCACAACGGAGCATTTGTGTCAGGAAAGTGAAAGGCGCCATGTGCAGCAACACTGGGCAAAGGCCTGAAGATCTTTTTTCAAAAGCTCAGGCACGATGTTGTGATCAGCCGGTTTAAATCGATAGAAAACTTTTAAAACGTTGGCATACATAAAAGGCCCACCATATGGAAAGCAGTCAAGAATATCCTTGACAAAAAAGCAAAGAAAGAACGGACCACGAGGCATGTTTCAGAAGAGGAATATCATGGTCAACACGAAAAAACCCTTGGTAAAATCGAAAAAAGGGTTTAAAGTGCAAATCCGCTTTCTTTACATCGTAGCACATCATAAAAGAATGAGGACTGGCAGAAATGGCGGCTGCTAACGAGTGTGCAACATTCGTTACCTCTATACAAAGTGCATTCGTCCACATGGCATCCCACTTAATACTTTCCCACACGGAACCGAGCCCGGAGATCGCAGCGACATGGGTTCAACCTATTAACTAAAATTGCACATCGCAACACATATCCAGCTAGTCTGATGATTTACTGATGCTCAAAAAATCATGGGGCCATCCACTGAACTCATTTTTCTACAGTCTATTGCCCAATTTTTGCTGCTCCCGTATGCTCGAGCCACAATCAACGTCCAGGAGAAATCAAAAAGTGCATATTATCCGTTAAACTCATACTTATATTTATGAACAGGTATGTACAGTTGAGTATGGGGCGTGGGAGGAAGTAGGAAAAAAATTAAAAACCGAAAAGTCCCAAACAGTTTCATTCGGTTTTCGAGGGCCGGAGGCAAGGGAACCGCCGAAGAAAGCGGACAATCCGCGATAGGGTCGATCAACGCTTAAACGAAAGAGTGACAGGTCAGCCAAAGGAAAGCACAATTCCACGCTCAGTCCAACAAATTCAGATACATGAAGGGTAAGAGATCCGATCAAATGGCTTACACGGCGTGGGGTGACCGGTTGCTCATCCTGAATGCCATCCCCCCATAAGGGGATGCCGATTGCATCTGCTTGGCAGGACTCTGACACCGTTGGTACGCTTCTGCAGATCTGCAAAAGCAAATAATACAAGGGATAGGCACACAGGGATGACACTTGAAAATCTTCAGCAATCTAGTCATATCTCCATAAATACAAAAAATTGTGTTCAAGGTCAATCCGTTCGTCAAAATCTGTACAAAAGAAGCCGCTTACTTAATTTCCATTTATTGAAGTGCCTTGGCTGCCTTACGCACGTTGCCTAACCGACGCAGTCCTCATGGATCACCGGCACAAAGATTGCATCCACAGAGTGCTTGTTCCAATGAACCCGCTGCTTCCGCGCACACCATAGTTTGTGCACTTTGCTACAATCAGGAAGAAAACAAATCAAAGAAATCAACGGACACCTCCAGCAGACCTTGTTTTTATCGAAATGACACTGCTCCACAGAGAAATGAACCATATTCAGCCAACACAGTCATCAAGCAGGATTCAGCCCGTGGTAAACCCTTTCTTATCACTTAGCTCAAATAAATAAGGCTCAGATTAATTGGCATACTGTTGAGAAAACGAATGCTTCTCGACTACGCCCCCAGGAGGGACCCTTACGACTTCCTGCAAGATCCCTCCACCTCGAACTTTCGCCTGGCAACCATGGAAGAATTTGCAATGCACATTAGATCAGATAAGCCAATGGAAATAACATCGGTGCCGTTAGTTCGTTCAAGTTCCTCACCGGCAGTGACCTGTGCAGACGCATCTCTACCGGTGAGGACACTGACACCAGCGACGTCCAGTACATAGAGTTCATGGGGAGGTCGGCATCACTGTCAAGGCTACTGACGAGGCCAATGTCCACGTCCGTGGACGCCTCTTCGTTCAGTGTTGTCGGTGATGGAACAGCATCCTGCATATTTATGTCGCCCGCCCCAAAGTTCTCATTCAGGTCATAGGTTTTGCCGAAATAATGGCTGGTTGATGAGTCCGCGGGCCAGAGCGATGTCGAGATAGAGAAGATTGGAGAGACCGGCAGGTAAAAGAAGGCTCCGGCGAACAGTTTCCGGATGAAGATGCCGAAGACTGAAAAAGTGTTCTTGAATTGCAGACTAGAGAAGCGAGTGGAGGGACCAGGGAGGGGCAGTATTTGAAGAAATTTTAAGTAAAATGAGAGTGGATCTGCTGCCAAACGGGCGTTGTGAGGGGTGTTTCCCCGAGGTTCAAGCTATTCGTCGAGTCCGCGGGACAGGGACTACACATGGGCAGAGTATCCTCTGGAGAAAATCCTCGCAAATGCACCGCTGGCTGAGACGTTCTCGCATTGGAGAGCAGGGAGGCGGATGGATGTAGGACGGAGCGGCAGTAATGGGAGTGAGCTGTAGAAGTGGTCTTTAGCCGGTGTCCGGGAAGACGGCGGAGAGGAGAAGATGGTGAATCAGGATGCAACAAATGATTGGAAAATTTCCGGGCTGACGCGTTTCTTAGAGCAGCATAACCTTCTATCGGATGCGCAGCATGGAGTTGGAAGAGGCAGGTCCTGCGTAACGAACTTGCTCTATTGTTTGGGACGCTGGACTCGAGCAGTTGATGAAGGAACTCCGCTTCATGTAGTCTACATCGACTTCAAGAAGGCATTTGATAGCTTTCCACATCAAAGACTTGTACACAAACTCAGCCAAACAGGTGTTCGAGGAAATCTGCTGAAGTGAATTCGA